AGAATTAAACTTTCAAATTCGACACCACTCTCAAATTCACTTTCAGTTTTAACGTAAAAGTTCCTGAAACCTTTTGAAACATTTCTAACGTGCAATTTTATGCCTTTAATAGTATATTGTTACGTTGATTCATTGCTTAAATAACTGTTTACAGAGTGTGATCTGCAGAAGCGTATTAGTAATGCTTTAATCTGAAATTTTATACTTTAATATGTTAATTTTACACTTATATCTGTAAAAGTTTCACTTTACTCTGTAAATTTTACACTTTAAAGTGTTAATTTACATTTTAAAGTGTAAAATTTACAGAGTAAAATTGTAAAATATATTTTTAATTTGTACATTGTACACTTTATTTTGAAAATTTTACACTTTAATTTGTAAATAGTGCACATTTATTTGAAAAATGTGCACTTTTATTTGAAAACTGTACATGATAATCTGTAAATTTTAGACATTAATGCGTAAAGTTTACACTTCAATCTGAAAGATTCACACATTAATGTGTTAAATTAACACTTCAATTGCAATATGAAAAATTTACAAATCTTGAAATTCTACACTTTAATGTGTAAATCTTTTTCTTTAACGTGTAAATTTTACACTCTAAATTTTTATTTATAATTTGCACTAAAAAATGTAAGTTTTACACATGTATCTGTGTAATGAACACTTTTGAGTGTAAATTTTACACCTTAATCTGTAAAATTTACACATTATTCTGAACAATCTGTACAGCGCAGTAGGTACAAATGGAAGGATAATATACATACTTTAAAGGGATAAACGATTCTTATTATGACTTTCCTGATATCAAAAAATGTAATATGATTTAAATGAACATGTTGAGGACATTTAGATGTTTTTAATTTATAATTTCCACATAATATCGAAGTCACATAATTTTAGCACTTATACGTGCGGTTTATGGGTCATTTATGATTTGCAATATTACAAAGGCATAGCCATTTAAAATTTCAGTTAAATTTATAAACTATGAATTTATGATAAGTGCTGCGAACCTATGTATATTCCTTTATTTAATTGCTAAAATTTAATTTTTTGGACGACAGGTTGTACATATTGCTGGTCAACTACCTTGAGTATAGCTACAGCTATAGTTATTTTTTTCAGTTTAAATTACGTAATAACATTGTGCACCTCCTATTTTACTTTTCAATTAGATACTTGTTTCGGGTATCCCATGGCAAAGCATTAAATTATTTTCATAATTCTAAAGCAGGAAGGGTATCATTTAGTGAGCTCAGTTTTACATTATACTGTGTGAAAATTTTTTTGTCACTTGGGAGAAGGTCATTCAAGTGTTTTTTTTTTTGTTTTTTTTTCAAATGAATGTCGATGTCCTATTTGAAGGGGAGATAATAGCAAATTATTGGAAAGCGTTTTTGAAATCTTTTCAATTGACGATCAAACTTAATATAATAATAAATAGAACAAATCTTTTAAACATCGTCTTCTAAAGAAAGGTAAAGCCATCATTGGTCATATTCATGTTGAAGTATCTACAGGTATAGTGTAGATTCAATTATGTTCAAACCATTACCCCATTAAATCTTTGGGGTGACTGTGGACGATCTATAATTTACATATATATATATATATAAAATATTTCAGAGAATCATTTAAATCTCCTTCTAAGGACCTCTAGAGAAAGGCCGGAGGCACAGTGAATGATCAAACTTTTATAAAAAAAAATATATAGGGTCAAATCTTAGAAAAATTTTCTCCCTGAGAACAGCAAAGCCAAGAATTATTTTTTATAATAAAGCATCCTCAAGCAAGCTTGGTTTAAGTTTGTTTATATGATAACCACTTTAGTTAAGTTGTGGCCACAGTTGGTGATAAATGATTATTCAGAAAAACACTGGGAAAATAATTTCAATACATTCTTTTGAAAAAACACTAAATCCATGATTTGTAATATTTTTTCCACGGGAAGTGTACTTTCATTTATGTCCAAATCATTACCCCCTGGGGTAGAATCGGGCCACAGCAAATGTTCAAACTTACAGGGAACAAGCCACAGTTTATCAAAAAATATGTAATCATACTTACTTTTCGTTCAACTCATACCCTCCCAATTTTTTATCTATGTTGGGGCCATATTTACCGTATATACTTGACTATAAGTCGGTCCGAGTAAAAGTCTTGGGGTGGTTGACGTTATTTTGGTGTGATTTGACAATGACACGCTTATAAGTTGGTACAAAATTTTGCCAAAACCGGTTGACAATATCAAGTAAATCCCTTACAATTTTGAAATGGTTTCAAATAATATTTTTTTGGAATGACATTAACGTTACATTTTCATCATTAAACAAATAGGTAACGCTTCCTTAAGATACAAATAAAATTTTCTAAATAGGTAAACACTTGTGTTAAATCTAAAAATACATAAATTATCAAATATATCCAGGCATTAACTTCGAAAATTGTCGGAAATGCATATAAAATAAAATATTTCAGGCGTCTAGAAAAATTCTTATCTCTTTTTACTTCCCTTTCTATTTTTTTCTTTGTGATAACTTGTGTGGGAAATTAGCGGTGGTGATTTCTCGATAATTCTACCGGAATGTAAATTAGGCAGGTCGATAGGTCAGGGGCTAAGTAGACCGTATATGCATGCAAATCTCGTGTGCATCTATCTCTGTGTCTGATGCTTGGGAGGCCTAATATGTTTATGTTGTCTTCACACGCTTCGCCCCCGTTATGCAAATTATCCCATATTCCCAATTCTCTTTGATGCCCTGGCGTACTCTACTCACTAGTCAGTGATTCCTTAAATAACTCGCGTATAAATTGAACACAAAATTACAGACCAAAATTTAATCCGAGAAAAGAATTATAGGCAAATAAAGTATATATGTAATCTTTTCAAAACTGAACAGATTTTTGGTCTCTTTTCTAGTCACTGTGCTCAGGTGAGCAATTAACATATTCATATTGGACGTTAAACAACTTATGATTGATCAATGAAGATCACTTGTTCTAAATTGTAAATAATCATAATGATTATCTTCGCAGTAAAAAATAAAAAGATAAATGTCTCCTTCCTAAACACTGACTAACTGATTTATGGAAATGAAACCACAACAAATAAAAAAAAAAGGTTTAAGTGTACGATTGATTGATTGTATACTGTTTAACGTCCCTCTCCAGAATATTTCACTGATATGGAGACGTCACCATTGCCGGTGAAGGGCTGCAAATTTGGGCCTATGCTCGGCACTCAGGGCCATTGAGCAGGGAGGGATCTTTATGTCGTGCCACACCTGCTGTGACATGGGGCCTCGGTTTATACGGTCTCATCCGAAGGACCACCCCATTTAGTCGCCTTTTAACGACAAGCAAGGGGGTACTGAGGACCTATTCTAACCCGGTTTCACACGGGAGGTACTTGGGACCTATTCTATCCCGAATGGGATATTTAAGTGTTAGAAAACAAAAAAAAGTCACGTTGGACAAGTGTAACCTTCTCCGGCTTTGGAACTTGTGTATTTGGTGTATTGTGTATTTTAATGACCTGGGAAAGTGTGTCACATAATATGCAAAAGGTATTTTGAATTCACAATAGTTATGTACATTCTTATATCGAAAAAATATATCCCAGTGATTCTGAAATAAAAAATACAACAGAGTTTGACAGGTATGTTTCATGTTTCGATATTTCACTGGAGTCGTTAATGGTAACGTTACAACAAAGCTTTATGAAAAACGTGATGTTCTTTCAGGCATCCACTTCCATTTTTTTTAAAACGACTGCAAATGGGGTTTTTATCTCACAGATGATTCGATATGCAAGAGTAGTATTCACGAACGAACACCTTCTTGAAGTAATTAGTAAATTATTGATGAACAAGATGATGAAGCAAGAATATCAACAGTATCGTTAAATCATCATTTCAAAAAGTTTATGGTTGAAACAATGACATTAACAGCACATAAAATCTATCAATATTCCAAGTATTGATTGCCGTTTTTTTAAACTAATTGTAAGGCCATTATCTTCACACAGAATTGCCTATTGATATTTTTTGAAATTTCTAGATTATGACAAGGAACACACATTGGGTTCGGGCGGTGTACTTCCCCAAGGTACCTGCTGTTTTAAGGTCTGTGATTGCTTTGATCCTCATTCTATTCAATCAACTCAATTGGGAGAGATACACCCCTTATGCTAGTGATGTTGCTGTACAATGAAAATGTTTTCCCTTCATTTTTTTTTCTTTCATACTTCGATAAAAAAATGTAACATTGTAATATCCTGTGGAAAACCATTCAGTGCGCCAAAATGATAAAACACGTGCTGTTTCAATTCTTTATCTAAAGGGAACTGACTATTCATAAACATAATAATTTGAATCTTGATCCCGATCACAAATACAATTACATGTACAAATACTACACTCCTCCCCTCTTACATTTGATCCCTTCAAAACTTTACTACAAATCAATTTAAACCTCAAATAATTTTAGCCAGTCAATAAACTTTAACAAGTCAATACAGCATCTTTAAATTCACAAGTAACTATTTAAATTTCCTCGATCAGTCTTTTGGGTGCATTTCTTTCACGTGCGGGATTACGCTTGACCGGTGTTATTGGAACGGGTGTGTTTGGATTGGACGGCGGAGAGTCAGCTGAAGAAATGGGTTGATTGTCACTCGGGTCCGGTGACTGGGTTTGAGCTCTGGAATGTGGAATGCGTTCAGGTGCATTAGACGGAGATGTTACACGTGCATGAATTGGTGTAGAGTTAACATCTACAGCGGAGTCGAAGATATTGATGTTCAGTTTTTCCTGTGGAAGATCAGCTTTACAACTCAGCAAGTGATCGCAATGACAATATCGGGTGCGGTTGCCAACCTTCACGAGATATGTCAGAGGTCCCATCACCTTGTGAATATAGCCTGGAATCCATTTCCATTTGCCAGCTTGAATGGTTGTTTTCACCTGTACTTTCTCCCCAGTGTGGAATTTCTATACTTTAAAGACTCCTCTTTCATGATTTTGTTTCATCTTCTGCTGAAAATTTTCCACTCGTTTTCCATTATCAGGTTTTATTAGAGACAGGCGGGATCTAAGCTGCCTTTTTAGGAAAAGCTCTGCAGGAGCAACTCCTGTGGTAGTATGTGGTGTTATCCTATATTTAAGAAGTAGGTCAGCCAGTTTATGTTCGAGGGAGTGCGGCTTCCCATCAACTTCCTTACATTTCAATGCCTTTTTGACTATCTGAACACCTCTCTCAGCAAATCCGTTTGACTGTGGGTGGTAAGGTGGTACCAATGTGTGCTTTATTCCGTTCAGTCGTGCAAACTCCTTAAATTCACTTGAGGTGAATTGTGTCCTGTTATCACTAACTATCTCTTCGGGTAGTCCTGTGGATGCAAACAGCATTCTGAGCTTGTCGATTGTCATTAAGCTTGTCATGGATCTTACCGGAATGGCGTCTATCCACTTAGAATAGCTGTCATAAACTATAAGTAAGGATTGACCCTTGTAGTCAGCATAATCAATATGTATCCTCTGAAATGGTCTTGTAGCCCAGATCCAGGGATGCAGTGGTGCTGATTTTGGACTGTTTCTTACGGATATACATGTACATGACGGACATTTTTCGACAACTTCCTCTATGTCCTTATCTAGGTTAGGCCACCATAGATATCCACGCGCTAGTGACTTCATCCTGCACATACCCAGATGTTCCACATGAAGTTCTTCAAGTATGCGCTTTCTTAGAGTCTTAGGAATCACAACTCGGATTCCCCATAACACAACTCCTTGCTCTACACTCAGAGATATCCTCCTCTCAAAGAATGGTTGAAGTTCTGGATCTGCATTGTGATTGGGCCATCCAGTTAAGGTAAGTTCATGTACCTTAGATAGCACCGGATCCATTTTTGTTGCTTTAGCAATGTCAGTGTTTGAAATAAGAAGTTCTACATCATCCAGTTCAGAGAAGTAGACATCTTCATAGTCTTCCTGTGCCTGGTTATCAGAAATAGGAGGTCTCGATAATGAATCACAGTTTCCATGTTCCTGCGATGCTCGATACTGTATCTGGTACTGGTATCCTGATAGTATGAGAGCCCATCTCTGCATTATCGCAGCAGCTAAGGTAGGTACTCCATTCTTTGGTCCAAAAATAGTGACCAATGGCTTGTGGTCTGTGATTAGAGTGAATGTCCTTCCATACAGGTATTTATGGAATTTTTTTACCCCAAATATGATGGACAATGCTTCCTTTTCCACTTGTGCATAGTTACGTTCACTGGAATTCAAAGTCCTTGAAGCAAAGGCAACAGGCCTTTCTGATCCATCCTCCATAATGTGAGACACTACAGCTCCAAGGCCGTATGAAGAAGAATCACATGCTAGACGAAGAGGTTTGTTCATATCATAAAAAACTAACAGTTTTCCTTTCGTAATCATCTGTTTGCTGTTCTCGAAACTCTCTTCACACTTGTCTGTCCATGACCAATTTTCCCCCTTTTTCAGTAATTGGTGTAAAGGCTGTAGTACCGTACTTAAATTTGGTAAGAATGCTCCATAATAGTTTAAGAGTCCTAAGTATGCTTTTACTTCCTTTACATCTTTGGGTCTAGGAGCATCACGTATTGCAGCAATCTTCTCATCTGTAGGATGTATCCCCTGTTTGTCTACCAAAAATCCCATGTATATCACTTGATCAGCCATGAAGATGCATTTGTCCTTCCGAAGTGTGATATTGTGCTCTCGCAGACGGCGAAACACTTCTTGGATGGTCTTGACATGAGAATCATCATCTGGAGCCGTGATCAGGATATCATCAATGCGACACACCACATACGGAAGTCCGCTTAAAATCTTGTCCATTACTCCTTGGAAAATGGCACTAGCTGAACTCACCCCATAGGCTAGTCTTCTATAACGATAAAGTCCTAAATGGGTGTTTACTGTGAGATACTCTTCCGAGTCACTACTCAGCTCCAACTGAGAATACGCTTGTCGCAAATCAAGTTTTGTGAACTTCTGTCCTCCTGCTAGAGTCGCAAACATATCATCCGTATTAGGTAAGGGATACTGTTCTTCACTGATGACACGATTTACAGTGACTTTGTAGTCACCACAAAGTCTCACGGATTTATCTGGTTTTGGAACCACCACTATCGGGGCGGCCCACTCGCTTGTTTTTACCGGATAAATCACTCCTCTTTCTTCGAGTTTCTTTAATTCTGCCTCCACTTTTTCCTTGAGGGCATAAGGGACTGGACGGGCCTTGCAAAAAATTGGTTGGCAGTGTTCTTTGATTCTGATCTGAGCTTTGAAGTTCTTTATTGGATCTGAATTTTCCTTGAATAAATCCTCGTACTCCTTTAGTAAAGTGTCTACCGATCCACTTGTCACCGAGAAAATGTTTTCCCAATTCAGTCTGATCTTTGACAACCAATCTCTTCCTAGAAGACAGGGCTGGTTTCCCTTAACCACAAGAAGTAACATTTGTGGCACACATTGTTCACCATACTTGGCAGTCACTTCAAATTCACCTAGAATTGGAATTTCCTCCTTGGTGTAGGATTTAAGCGATGCTGACGATTTCTTGAGATTAAACTCAGAGAGTCTATTTCGGTAGACTGATTCATTCACTATTGTTCTCGCACTGCCTGTGTCGATCTGAAACTTCACAAGTTTGTCTCCTAGCTCTAGGTCAACTGAATAGTCCTTCGTTTTGCCTGATGTCTCCATGTTGAAAACAGAGTAGATACTGTGCTCTTCATGATGATACTCTTCACTGTGATCAAATTTGGAGTCCTCATTCACATATAGAGTAGGTTTTCCATTGAACTTTGGATTCCCCCTTTCATGTCTGCATTTCTTTGCCAAATGTCCAATCTTATCACATTTGAAACACTTCGTGTTCTTAAATTTACATGTATCTGCATCATGTTTTCCCCCACAACGAAAACACTGTCTTACTGTCACCATGGGCTTCGGGTTTTTACCTTTTCTGTCCCTCCAATGATTTGGCTTTGATTTCACATAATGAACTGGTGTAGAATTACCGGTGAATGACAAAGTATCCTTTTCCGCAGTTTCCATTGCTGTGGCTATCCGTATTGCTTTTTCGAAAGTGAGATCTGCCTCGGACAGTAATTTCTTTTGAATGGCTTCATATTTTAGTCCACAAACAAGTCTATCTCTCAGTGCCTCCTTCAAAAAGTCCTTAAATTCACAATATTTGGACAAGTTCTTTAACTCACATACATACTCATTTACTGTCTCACCTTCTCTCTGGTTTCTCTTGTTGAATTTGAAGCGTTCCGAGATCACTAAAGGTTTTGGCATGTAGTAGTCTGTGAGAGTTTTTACTATGTCTTTAAATGACTTTTCTTTCGGCAAGGCAGGCTGAAGTAGATTCTTAAGGGCACCATACGTCGATGGTCCAACTACCGACAGAAACACCGCTACCCTTTTTTCATTTTTGACTTCATTTGCTTCAAAATACTGCTCCATCCTCTCCACGTAGTTCACAAATGTCTCCTTACCATCGCTGAATTCTCCGAGTTTCCCGATATGCGCCATTTTTGTTTATGCACAAATGTCTCCGACACCTTTATGCCTCGAAATAAACAATATGTCCACCTCGTCGCCACTGTAATATCCTGTGGAAAACCATTCAGTGCGCCAAAATGATAAAACACGTGCTGTTTCAATTCTTTATCTAAAGGGAACTAACTATTCATAAACATAATAATTTGAATCTTGATCCCGATCACAAATACAGTTACATGTACAAATACTACAAACATATGCTAAGATATTTAAAATGACTTAGCCTACTTCCAGGGCCTACCGAAAATAAAAGTTCTCAAATGTTGTCGTGTCATTAGTCATTACAGTTATTCAACAGAAAACCTTACCTTTTGTGGCATTATATTCTGCTAAATCCCAATGGGTTTTATTTCCCCCTTTAGGTTCGTAAAAGTAAACATGGTTAAGGGAGGCTACTCAAATATTCTTCTAGATCATAGAAATTTTCATTTGGATTTCCTATTCGCTCTTTTTGATCTGAATTTCAATTCAAACAAATAAATACGTATCACAACCTGCCAATGCTGTTAAATCTGAAATAGTATGTTACTTGCTGTTAAGAATTCCGTCCTAATTCATGCGTTGTCGTTTTTCTCGATCAATCATTTCCTAAGATTTAACACATCAACGATATTTTTTTAAGCTTTAATAGCATTAAATCATGTTTTCATCGTTTTTTTGTTCATACCACTTATTTCAAAGAATTCATTTAACATGCTGATTTCCTTCATTCTTTCCCATAACTTTATTGTTGTCATACAGCGCTTTTGGTTAGTTTAGCACAGATTTAGGGAAAATTCAGGGAAATATCTATTAAAGTAAAACTATTTAATTATTCCCTAAAAAAGTAATTTGGAAGCGGGAAATATACACGTATAAAGCCTTAAGTCAGCCAAAGTAGTTCCGATTGCTTAGTGCAATCAGAACTCTATATTTTGTTGATGCAGTTATCAAAATATTTTCTTATCCAACCAGAATCAAGTATTTTATAGAAATTAAATGATTTAAGAAATAAATGTAATATTTTTTTCATCATAAAAATTTTGACTGAAAAACAGGCGTTGCTGTATCAAAAATACATTTTCAAATTGAAGCTTTCTCTTGAAAAAAAAACATGATAAAAATAATAAAAAAAATTCTGATGATGACAACCTTAATACTGTATTTTAACCTGCTGAGATTGGATTTTTCTTTTCAAAATTTTAATCAAGTCATTAACTAGTTGGTAAATTACATTATACTCACTGGCATAGATTTCAAAGTTGCCCGATTCATAACAGTCATCTTTAGTTCCGATTGGTCAATTTAAAGGTTCAAAGACACAGATTTGAAGTTAATATTTCAAATTTTCTGTATAATATTACGACTTTTATATTGCCATAGCATTTTACAAGAATATATGATAAAAAAATTATTTCATTTCAAAGTTATTAAAGCTTAAAATTTCTGGTCGGGGTTGATTCACTCGTTCTGCATTTTCAGAAATTATGAGAGCGCAGCAAGCGTCGCAAAACGACGTACGCTCGTAGCTGCGAGCTTTAACGACAACGCCTGGGCGAAGAGAAAATTCGGAGTACTGCACGTTCATTTCATAGAATTTTTTCCGCAGTATTTTTGACCCACAATGCATTGCTTCGTACACAAACGTTAAATTCACGTTCTCGTGATAATAACGGCAAAAGTTGGAAGAAAAAAAACTTGCTATTATTTATTGAATTTATCTATTTATTGCAGAAAATACTCATAAACGTATTGAAATCAGTCCTCTTCAGGCCTTGATTTGGTAAAGCAACATGGAAACGAGGTCATGTGACGTCAGAGTCTTATACGCACCGAATGTCACCTGCGGTTTAACGAGTCCTAACGGTCGCACCGTCAACATATTAAGAGCCATTCTCTGTAATGATTTGAAATTTTATATAGGAGCTGTGGCACGCTTAGTCTCAGAATTTCTCGAAACTCTCTATGATAAAAGTAATTGATACCCAAAACTGAAATCAAGAAAAAATTGGTTGCTATATTATATAGTTACCATGGCAACTTGTCTTAAATTTCGGAAAATTGGCATTTTTTAACATGTTTAGAGCCCCATAGTGAACATATGCGGCAAAGCAAACAATTGGCAATTACTGATTCGGAAAGTTAAAGTGCCTGATAAACATGCTTGGTAAATCAACTGTTACATACGTTACTATGGTACATGTAACAAAGTATTCGAAAGTAAAAAATATATATTTATTGAATTTTTATAAAGTAATACACATAAAAATAACAAGCAATTATAGGATGAAATGTGACCAAATACTGGAAAAAAGAGCCTTGAAACATATACCAAGAACAAAATATGACATTTCATTTTGGTTGGCAATGGTTGCCAAGGTCTTTATACCACAGAGAGCCTTCAAAGTAACACACTGTATGTTTAAATCTGATCCTATCTTTTTAAAAAAGCACATTACCTCATAACTAATGATCATTTTATAAGATACTGGTGTGCTCCAAGCTTATAATACGAATTAAACTCGTTTTAACAAATTCTGAAACTTCTTATGACGAAATGAAATCTTTTAAACAAATACCTTAATTTGTTATAACGGTTAAATTCGTTGGAAAAGAAATCGACAAACCGTTATATCGAATTCATCTATATTTTTTATTAGCCCCTGATTATTGAATTTGATTCAACGATCTTAATTATTTATAACTAATTTTTGAATTTTGTTTTAACGAATTGAATTCGTTATAACGTTAAAGAAATTTAATAAGTGTCACTTCTGTGTATTTAACTACGGAAGCCCAGTTAGGACCTATAAAATATTTTTGAAATTTGATATAACGAATTTTCGAATTTGCTATTACGATTTAAATCTTATTCAGTTGATTTATTGAAATCAATATAACGAATTTATTAATTTGTGTTAACGAATTTATTCGTTAAAACGAATCCAAAAATTTGTTATAACAAAGAAGAAGGTAAAGTTTCAATACAATTTCACCCCTTATTTTTCTAAGATATGAAAGTGATATGAGCGGTTACAATTTATTATTTTAGATTCCTATGAATTCCATCCAGTAAGAAAATACAAATCATTTTTCTCATATGACCTCCTAATTGCCAATTGTGACGTCATTAAATTGTGCATTTTCCCGTGCTTTCTTTCAAAGTTGCAGAAGTCATCACATTTAAGAGGGATTTTCTTTCCAAAAGCATACTCTGCCACAGTCGCCCACGAAGAGTTTGATATATGTGACTTTTCAAAGCACTTTACATAATATATATCCAAATATTGAGGTGGGCGACGCTGGCAGACATTATTTTCTTGAGATAAAGAGGCACAGAAATGAGAAATTCTGTGTCCTTTCTGCATTAAACCTAGAAATTTACCAGATTGATGACTTCATATTTCAAGAAGGTACTCCTTGGTGCCATATTCTTTAATTATTTATCATATTCGTCTACACATCTCTTGTTAATGCCAGTTTCGTAAATTCTAAGAACATTAAAATTTTGAGGCACGCTAACCCCCAAACCGTACTGTCTTCTTTAATTCGTAAAAACAAATTCTGAACTTTTATTATAACAAATTAAAGTCGTTTAAACAAATTCCAAAGATTGTTATAACGAACTAAATTCGTTTGATCAAATTCAATAATAATATATTTGAATTCGATATAACGATTTGTCGAATTCGTTTTAACCAATTTAATTCGTCACAACAAATTATGGAATTTGTTTAAACGAATGAAATTCGTTATAGCAAGTTTTAGAGTCTGTTAAAACGAGTTTAATTCCTATAAATAAATTTTTGAATTCGTTATAACGAATAAGCTTTCGTAATTAAAAGATCTTCCAAAATAGGAAAAATTACATATGTTTGAAAATGATACTGCAGGGTTTTCAACTTCACGTTTTAGTGGACTAAGGTAGCAATGATATATGAAGCAAGAATTTTATTAAAGATAAAAAATACGATATTTGTCATAGAAATATATTATCAAAACATGCTTTTGAATACAGGTTTGTAATTATGTGTCAAGTCACTTTTGATTCACTCAAATACATTCATATATAAAACAAGTATTTTTTTCAATTCCTTGATTAACATGATTGTAGGAATTCGACAGGGGTCATAATTCGCATTCCTGATATTCTCTTAACATTCTATACAAAGCGTTGAAAAAAAAAAAAACAACTCTTGAGTTATACACTGTAATATGCTTTCAATAGTTTATTACAAAATGGCCTCTTATTATCAAATTATTGTGTCAGATTTTTTAAACTGCCATGTATCTGTAAAATACGAGAGGAAATGTGTACAGAGTAAAACTATTCTACACAGAAATCTATTAAACTTACCTTAGGTGCAAATGTTAAATTTGAATATCTAATGTAAATCCTGACTTTTACAAAATATTAATGCATACATGGCTGCCAAACAAATAAACATCGATTAAGAAATAAATAACAAGTTTATAAACTTCCATGGGAATTGAAGGGGGTCGGTCAAGTGATCAAATCCTGTGAAGGTCGAAGACCTTTATAAAAGATTTGATTAGAAGTTTATAATCTTTTTATTTATTACTTATATATACAACTGAGACAGACAATTGAATATTTTCGAATTAAATTATTGCACTAACCGTCCGTCGTATATTTTGAAAAATGAAGCAAGATGTAAATCGGCTTGTATGGCGGTTACGCTTCGAATGCATTACACTAAGGAATCTATTTCGAAGGAAATATTTTTTGAAAGGCTACATGTGATCAGTAATAGTGAAAAGATTGTTGTCTGGGATTGGTTGATTGATTGTATATTGTTTTAAATCCCTCTTGAGAATTTTTCACTCATATGGAGACGTCACCGTATGCCGGAGAAGGGCTTCAAATTTAGACCTATACTCGGCTACCGTGACACGGGACCTACGTTTTTAAGGTCATATCCGAAAGACCCATTACTTTCACTTCTAGTGCCGAGTGCTTGGCGAAAGAA